GCAACTTCTTTGCTGATGGTTTGCTTGATTAGAGCAGCTTGTTAAGGTTTTACTGTGTGTCAATCTCTGTTTTGATTCCAGCAGGTGTTATGTATCCCAGGTTTCCCTTAGAACATGTGTTATTTCATGGAGAATTCGGCGCCATCGAATGCCTGAAACACCTAAAGCACGCTGAGAACACTAATTTTAAAGTCTCTTAGAGATAAATGTTTTTTTGAATTCCATATCTTCTTTGTATACCTTTGTTATTATTATTTTAATTATGTAACTGTGTGATGTAAGGACAATAAACAGATTTTCTATCTATCTACTTTCTAAATCAAGATGTATATATAAAAAGACTTTTGACTTGTTGTTTTAATCAAAATTACAAGTTGAGTGTTACTTTGGGTTTAAATAATAAAATATTTGATTTTGATTTAATTTTTTGCGTATTTTTAGTTTTAAAAAAATTTATATACATACTCAGCATTATCACCTTTATCAATTTTCTTTCCAGATTTTAAAACATTTTACCACAGAGTTGAGGCTCAAAAGTAAATTAAACATTTTTAGATGACGGCAGGTGTTAAGCATTGAAGTCACTATATTAACAATCTGTTGATTCAAAGAGCTCAAAAATTACCATAAACCCCAAGATTTTTAATCCTGTATTTATAAAGATAAAATTTAATTTTTTTTTTTACTTTTTACTAACCACATTCATGATATTTAGTAGCGTATTTATCTTATTATTTAAAAATGTCGTTATCTGCTAAGACCAGTAGGGCATTGCAAGTCTCCGATGAACCTGGACCCCTCGAAGTTCTGATTGCGCAGTTAAACGCACGATTTCAGTTTCTAGCTTCCAAATATCCAGCCTGTATGGAGGCAATTCAAAAAAACATTTCAGAAATTGAAACCTATTTATCTGCCTATGCTTCAAAAGTTGACAGTCTTGAACTGCGCGTTCAGGAATTAGAAAACAACAACAATGAAAAGTTTTTTAAAATTAAAGGAATTGTATCTGTCGTGAACGACTTATGCAAAAAGCTTGACCAAATAACTATTGATGAGTCATTGATCTCTTTTAGAGATCCCAACGAAAAAGATATAAATGAGATTGAGTCAAGCAAAAATGATATTATTTCATTTGATGTTGCTGATTCTTCTATCATGAGCCCAGAAGTTATTCAGAGTAACGAGGCAAATGGTTTTCACTATCCAGAGAGTGAATCATTGAACATACAAGAAATTTCAAACAATACTACCGGGGTGCAAAGAAAAAAGTCCCAAAAGTTTGACAATAAGGTTAGTAACTGAAACGTGGTACATGAGTTGGAGCTCTATAGTTCGATTCCTCAGGTATCACATACTATATTTAGTTCTAAAAGTTTTTTTTTTTGTGCAAGTTTTCTAACCCAAACAAAAAAAGCAAAAGGGCATTGGCGGCAAATATTCTAATAAAAACATGGAAAACTTTTGCACTGTTGACAGTGACAGCGATACTGTCACGAAGAAACATGCTTGGAGCCCGCGCCGAATGTTGAACAAAAAATCGCGGTCAAGTCAGCCTTCATCACCTAACGTAAAGAGATATCTTGATGAACGTCAAAGTTTTAATGCTTTAAGAGATTAGAGTACATCTTATGAAAAATTGAGATAAAAAAAATATTTGAGTGGGAAATGCATAAAGAATGCAATATGTAAACTAACAATCTGAATCCTTTCTTACCATTTTTAAAACTGAAAAGAACCAGTAGATTTACGCATACAATACTCTAATAAATTCACTTTTTTTAAGCCAACAATTATATTGTTTATTAGCTTGATATTTATTTATTTTTTTTTGCTGTGAGATAAATTTATTGTACCGATTTATTAGATATTTTATATCTCAGATGCTTTCAAATTTATGTTATAGTTCATATAAGCTTGGTATTAAAACAGCATTGCTATCTAATACTTGACTATCAAAAGTAAAAATTAAAAGTCACTATTGAAAAGATAACACAGATGAAAAAAAAAAAAATACTACATAAAAAATACAAAGTCAATCAAGAATCAATTCAAACTTAATCAACTTAATCTTGAAAACTAATGCGCGGTTGCAAGTTAAAACAAAAAAAAAAAAAGGTCATGGTTATAATAATTTATAAAATAGATTAAAAGCGTAGTAAGACTTAAAAAGAAACGTATTGATATTGAAAATATTGATCTGTCAATAGAAAAAAAAAGTTATAAATGTGAATATTTGTAAGGCCAATAAACAGATTTTTTATCTAATGTGAATATTTTACGTTTTTCTGATACTGAAACTTGGGTTAACACTTCAAAACTGTTAAAAAAAAATATATGTATATCTATATAGTTGTACATATATGCTTTGATATGAATGTTATTATTGAAGATTTTTACCCCTTGAACTAATTAAAATAGTGAAAGGCACGGTAACACGCTCAAGAACCTCCCCACCGTTTTAAAACCTCTAATATCAAACTTTTATAAAATTTTCTACATAAGCTGTTGATATTTATATGACAGAATAGAAGATTACTAAAAAATTATTTGATTGATTTTACTAATAGCTTTAGTATTAATTATACAGTTAAAAAAATAGTTTCAATGGCATTATGACCTTTAAACAACTAAAAACTATTCGTTTGATTAACGGTGAATCGATAGCCAGATTAACAGAAGAGTCTTTCAATATTTTACCGTCTTTTTTTTTTTTTTTTTTGTTTTTTTTTTATGGAACTATCATATTACAGTGGTTATTCTATCGGGTTTCTCTTGTCACACGGATTCAATAACTAGAAAATTCAGCGCCATCAAAGCGATTGGGATAGATTTATTTACGATACAGCCACCATCGAATTATTTAACTATAATCATATTTAATTAACTAATAATTAGCTACGTAAGAATAAAAACCTCTTATCATATCAATATGGCAAAGCATGTTGTTGTTTTTTTTGGTATTCTTTCAACAATTTTGGAATAGATTCTTTCATATTTTTTGAAATGTTGTGCAAATCTTTTTATTGGTGGTCTCTTACTAAGAGGGATTCTACACTCCATGCATGATTTAACTTCTTATGATTCATATCATAGTGTATTGACATGAAATCATCTTTTGTTTTCATCTCTATCAACATAACCAGAGAATTTGTTTCACTTAATTAGCACTACATCAGTTAAGCTCAAAAATATGTGCGATAGCCCGGACTCGAACCGGGGGCCTGACAATGGGAACGTCATATTTTACCCCTAAACTACTAACGCAATTATTTTTGAAATATCATCCACTGTTTAAATTTATTGTTGTTGTAGTTGTAGTTGTTGTCGTCGTTTTTCTTGACTCTATAGGTCTTGTGGTTCAAAAATTATAATTGATTGGAAGCTGGATTAACAGGAAATTTTAAAAATATAGGTTTTTACGGTAACCTAAAAGTGTAAAGAATACCAACTTTTGAAGTTTATGACAATTTTTCTTACTCGCATAAATACTTATATTTTTTTGAATTCCATGTCTTCTTTGTATATCTTTGTCATTATTATTTTAATTATGTAACTATGTGATGTAAGGACAAT